ATGGTCGGAATTACTATTATTATTTTTTTCTTTTAGTCTAGCATTTTTTTCTCCGGAACAGTCATGCCCTAAACTAGACGCATTGGTTTAACCTCAGCACAACTAAAACCATAATAACTAAGAAGTAGGTAGCACATCATTATTATTGATGTAACTAGCTAATGTATTTATTTTGTTTCATTTATTTATTTATTTGAAAGCATTTATGAATGTATCTTAAATTGTACTATCATCATTATTTTTGTTTTATTGTTAATATTTTATTTTTATTTATTTATTTTATTTATTTATTTTTTTTCCCTCCGTTTTCTGTTATACGTTTTACAAGAAAAGTGTTTGGATGGGTGGGGGGTTTTGGGGTTGAATGTTTACAAAAGTGTTCAAAAAAGAAAAGCAGAAATTGGACATTTGTATACGAATGCTTTCCACTTGTGTTCAATAAATAAAGTTTATAAAAAAAAAAAAAAAAAAAAAGTTTGCTATTTGGGCTTATTGAAACCTAATTAGAGTAAAAAACCTAAGTATCATCTTTTAATATGATGTACTTTTAGGTAAAAAAAACAAAACAATGTCCATATATGTGGACTCGTGGTCCAAATTTACATAAAACACTTTTCCCTGACTGTTTCGTTATGCATATTAAACATAGAAAAATTTTTTGAACATGTTTTGACCATCGGAGAGTAAAAACTATTTTTGGACAGTTAAAAATAGGGTTTGGGACATTTCATATATGCTGCAAAACAGTTGCAGGATAAGACGGTATGTCTGTAACAAAATATAAAACATTCAAAGTATTTTAAATAGCCACTTAAGAGCTAAAACGTGCTGTCCACGTATGTGGCCACTACGCCCTAGGAACTTAAGAAAACAAATCATTTAAATGTAAGGATTGCTTTAAAATACAAATGTAGAACAGTAGATTGAGTGATGAATAAATAAAAAATAAATGAATAAAAATACAGTGGGTGCATATTAGGATTGTTGGGGACCCATGCCTGTAATTGCTTAGGGCCCCAAAATAACTAAATCCACCCCTGCTTACGTGCATTTTTAATTTTTTTTGTGATAAATTTACATAATTACATCATTTTCCCTTTTTTGCAATTTTTTGCTAATCGCAACATTTCAAATCATGATTTAGATTCAATTTTGATTAATCGCACCACCCTTGTCTGTCTGTCTATTTATTATTAGTTCCTCCATCTTCACTATAAGCAGAGAATAATCAAGCTGTTTTCGGGGGAAATTCAATACACAAGCTATAATACATTGTTTCATATAAACATAAAAATAGAAATGTGTCATAATAGTAAGCTTGACGTTGACATTTTGGAAGCGCGCCGTGTCAGATTTATACATTTCCAGCCTCAAAATGGTCCTTAATGGATTGAATTGATCCGTGAAAAAGCTTTTTGTATGTAGGTATTTTTCTCAGCCGTTTCTTTTTTCCTGCCTGTTTTACAAGCCTTCATGTAATTACCTAATGTGTGAACAGTGTTTAAAACTCTGTCTACAACTCCCAGACAAACAGCGTAATTATGTTTGCGTCGGTGTTTATTACTGTTATTAGTGACTACAGCGGTTCGAGTGAGGAAATGTTAGCTAAACTGATGTGTGTGATCCAAACACAACCTGAATGAAACGCATTAGTGTGGCTCGGCACGACGGCAAGTCTGTGAAAGCCTTTGTGCCCTGCCGCGGGAGCCTCTCCAACGCTGAAATATGATACGGAAAACCTAACACCTCGACTCCTAGCACATGTTATGATAGCTGTGAGTGGCATGTTAGGGCAGCAGTCGCTCTCTTTCCTGCTCATTCATTCTCTCTCTCTCTCTCTCTCTCTCTCTCTCATTCACATTCTATCCCACTTCTTTCATGACCTCATTTATTTTTCCTTTAATATTGGTAACACTTACCCAGGATTCCGACATCTGACTGTCTGGCCGTCTGACCACCCTCCTTCCTGATGTCTGAGTTGAGCTCCCTCTTTTCCTGTCTGTCTTTCTCTTTGACCTTAGTGTGTTGAGTCTGACAGAGGTGTGTTTGTGTGCGTGTACAGTACAGTATGTTTGACCTTTTTTTTTTTCTTTGTGGCGGTGACCTACCAGCTTGGGTTGTCTGACAAAGAGAGAATATGTAGTCTGGCACTGCTGGAGAGCAGCTAAAAGTAGCAACATGGACTCCGCTACATATTTTAATAGTGTGCTGTAGCTGAGCTCTTTTTTTAGCTTGTCCAGTAATGAGCTGTATTCTAAAATAGTAGTAGTCTAACATGACACAGGCTAACAAGATAAATTAATCAAACACAATCTTCAAACTCAAAAATGTTGTTCAGAATTTAATCATGTTAACTGAAAACGTTTATTTTAATCTATGCTGCATTTTGTTCTGTACTGAAATGTAGATGTATACCTGATTAGTACCACATGTTAGTGATGACTGCTTTTAAAGAACTGCTTCATGACAACCATTTAAGGATGAATCAGTGATTTTAGAGCTTGTACCAAATTAGCAAGGTCACATGATTTCAGTAAACGGAGCGCACATTACATCATAAGTGAAATATTAAAAATAAATAAATTCAATGGCTCTCCACTAGGGGGCGATCTCTTTAATAATATACAATTAACATGAATCACGTGGCCTTCAGATTGTCCACAGTGGTGAATCTCTACTTTTGGTTCAGTTGTTTCGAAGCTTTGAAAAACTTTGGCTGGTTCTTAATTCCAAGAATGCAAGAGAGAGCGATCTAGCCAAGTTACCTAAGAAAGAACGAACTCAGTAGACCATGAGAACAGAGAATGCGTGCTGGGTAATAAGATGCTGCGTTTTTCCATGGTTCTTCCTGATGATCACATGACTTTTACGCATTTTAATGGAAAATGATTTAAACATTAAAGCAGTCATACAACAATTTATTGTTTTTCCCCCTTTTCACAATATATTCTATCCATAAAAGCCATTGAATTTGAGTAAATGAACACCCTTAATGTGTTTATGCCTTTATAAAAATTTTAATTTTAGTGTTTATGCAATGACTTCTGGGACTTCTCGAGGGACTTTTGCGCTCGAGTCTGCATAGCTGCACATCCGATTGCTACTGTACATAACTATTTTGGGTTTTTAAAAGTTTCAGACTAAAACTTTTTGACATCCTGTGAGTAACACTACACATACTGCTGAGGAAGTGTATAGTTTGGAAGGAACTGATACGTCACAAATAGCATACCTGCTGTAGACACAATGACATAGTTTATGTAAACATACCCCAACTGTCTTTTTTCTAGTGCTTCTCCTTGGGATGAGACTCTCTTATTCCGGGAAAAGATGTTGCGTCACTTACTGTTGCAGGAAGTTACTGCTAATGTTTCATTCATCAGACTCTCATCTCCAGCACAATCTCAAATGCTCTTTTAATGTGGCAGTAGTTTTGTGACATTGAAGCTGATGTGAACCGAATCTCTCTCTTTTGTTTCTTCCCTCACACTTTCTCCTAGGAACCTGGAAATAATGTTACATTTTTGGCATTCTTCCTTTTTAAATCGATTTCTAGTAAAGAGAACTGAAGTAATAAAATTCAGCACATATCTTGTCACATTCATTTTGTGTTACAGATTGTTCATCTCTTTGGAGGGACAAGTAATCAGCTTTATAAATCAAATTAATATCCAAATATTCCAAAAGATTTACATTGGTATTTAGGCATTGAATGGCCATATTTAGAAACGATTATACATGTATATTGGAGATTTGGGACTTTGACTTGAGCCAGATTGCAACCACACAGAACACCTGAAGGCTGATTTATACTTCTGCATCAAGCACACGTGTATGCTCTGGCACAGCCCATACGCAATTGCATACTGTAGCCCTCACCATGGCTGATGCCGACGCTGACACGCACCTCTCAAAAAATGTAACTACACGTTGCAATAATGTGTAGCGCAAGCTCTGTGATTAGTCAGCTTGGTAGTGGTGACGAGCATGGCCGGTGCTGAGAGCCCCGAGCCCAATGGAGCAAAAAAAAAAAAAAAACAAGTGTCGAGTGGCGTAAAGGAGCCAGTTTTCGCCTCTGAATGAGCGAGTTTGAGCTACTTGTAGCATTCAGAAAAGAAAAAAAAAACACCTGCGAAGAAACTCAACCCAGAGAAGCATAACTAACTGCGAGCGGGCATTTCGGAAGTGTTATTGTAGGGCAACACAAACAGCATGCAGAAGTATAAATGCACGACTACGCGCAAAGCAGGCTACATGGGTCACGCCGATCAGTTGACACAAAAGTATAAACCAACCTTAACCAAACACCAAGCAACATCTTAGAAACCTCCCAAAACACAATAGCAACTGCAAATCAATACTGTAAAATCACTTGGATACGTTGGCCATGGTCTGGCGGACACCTACATATTATGGCAGCAGGTTTGGCATATGCAAGCAGAGCTCCTTTTTACTCCAAGATATTTTTTTCTATCTATTTATTTATTCACTCTTTTTTAAAAAGTGCCTTATTAAAATACTTCTGCTAAGTGATGGAATCTGTAGAAATGTCAGAGAGCAGACAGGGCCTTTCATTTTTCATACAGTTTGTTTGTAAAGGTTGGCAGTTTTGAATAGATAGCAATTAATATTTTTTTAAATGCAATATGTGGGTCTGTACTGCTCTGTATTGAGATAAGCTGGGCTGTTTTTTTGAGCTATAGGTGACATGTCTTGTCAAGTGTGAATATGTGCGGGCTTGGTGTTTCTGTATGTCATAGAGAAGGTGTCTCTTTCTCACCTGCGGCCCTCATTATTACATCCTTCCCCATGGCGATCTCTCACTCTGTCAGACTGCAGTTGGCAGCAGAGCCCTGATCATCTCTTCCAGCTCATAAAATTTTTGCTCTTCCTTTATTTCTGTTCTTATTTTATCCTCAGCACCTCTGAGAATTCACATTTAGTAGTTCCAGACCACTCTCTGTTTTAATGACATGGTGTGTTTTTGTGTTTTCTCCTAGGGATTCAGTAAGGCTGGCACTTTCTCTACTGCCAGATACTGACATGTGTTTGGGGGCTGATGTCTTGATGCTTTGATGAGGTAACGGCGGACTCCGGAAGCCCAGCCCTTGCGTTGAGCAACCCCTTCCCTCTCCCCTCCTCCCTACCCCTTTCCAGCCAGCCAAGCCATGGGCCAGAAAATCTCAGGGAGTATCAAGTCCGTAGATGTGCGAGGGGAGCCGTCCTTCAGGCCCCTGAGGAGGGAACTGAGAGGGCCAGATTTCTTCAAGCCAGCCCGACTGGATCTACTCCTGGACATGCCTCCTGCTTCATATGAGCAACAGCTTCGGCATGCCTGGAACTCGGACGACCGCTCCCTTAACATCTTCATTAAGGACGATGACAAACTTACCTTCCATCGGCACCCAGTTGCCCAAAGTACCGATGGCATTCGTGGACGGGTGGGATACACACGAGGACTCCATGTTTGGAGGATCCATTGGCCTGCTAGGCAAAGGGGCACGCATGCTGTGGTGGGTGTGGCCACAGGAGATGCCCCATTGCACTCTGTAGGGTACACCTCTTTAGTGGGCAGCGATAGTGAGTCCTGGGGCTGGGACCTGGGACGTAACAAGCTCTACCACAACAGTAAGAACCGGCCGGCCTCTTCTGCACCCACATATCCAAGCTTCCTGGAGCCAGAGGAGGCTTTTGTGCTACCAGATACACTGATGGTGGTGCTGGACATGGACGAGGGCACACTGAGCTTCATGGTGGACGGACAGTACCTTGGAGTGGCCTTCAGAGGTCTTAAGGGCAAAAAGCTGTACCCCATTGTCAGTGCGGTATGGGGGCACTGTGAGATCACCATGCGATACATCAACGGCCTAGATCGTAAGTACAGAATTTCTCTTAAGTTACTTAGCTATACCTGAATAATTGTCTTGCTTTAAAGGTCTTGATGTCAGCTCTGAGATTTTGTAAAGTGAATTGCTATAGTATGGCCTAGTGGTAAGAGTCAGGCACTGGAGCAATTTATGGGAAAATTCCATCACTATTCTGTCTATTTCAACTTTTTAACCGAAAAAAAAAAAACCGAAAAATTGCTAAAGGGTGATAATATTATGGTGTCTTTCTGCTTAAACTGTGAATTGCATATATCCTGATGAAAGAATATTTTAAAGAAGCTAGCTTTCTGGTCATTTGTTGGTCTCCCAGCCTGGTCAAAGTAATGTTCAGCTGGTATCCTGGTCAAGCAGATCTATCTTGTGGATATCTTGCCTCATATCCAGTGTCCTTACAGAGTTCAGTTTTCAAAAGTTTTCAAAATCCTTTTATAAATCAACTAAGACACCAGCTTGACCAGAAGATCAAGTTCAAGCTGGCTGCATTTTCAGCAGAGTAAGCCCTCCCTTGACCATACACCAGGCTTTATACATTATATCTATTGCTGTGTTCCCTTTTCGCCTTACTTCCCCATCTACTACTGTTTCAGCTGCAACAACACTTTGTTTTTAACAAATATTTTATGACGTGTGTCCACATATTGTTAGTATTTCAACATACAGGTATAGTTAGTCAGCAAGGTAGCTTATGTACTATTGTAAAGAGATTCTGGTTCTTCTCCCTCAGGGTACGCTGGCAATGCTGCAGGCATACATTTATTATTAATGTTAAGAACAATGAAACAAGCAAGAGCAGTGGAAACAAAAGGCCTCAAAGCACTGCTAGTTGTTCTCTACACCTGGCATAGGATTATAGCTAATGAGGAAGAGCTCTCATTTTGATATTCACAAGAAATGTGCTTGTAAATTTGGTGCATGTATAGTTTGATGCCATGCGTGTTGTGCAAGTGATTATGTATTAGTTTCAAGCACACTGAGCTGTCACGCTATTCAGAAGCCTAAACACTGAGCCTCTGTGTTTGGAGAGGCTTGAAACTCTCCTTCAACCATCATCAGCATGTGTTTTGGAAACACTTTTTTTTTTTTCTAATCCGCTCCTGCCAGGCAGACTCTGTTTGTGTATGAGCCAGAGAGTTTGTGAAACAGCATTTTAAAGCCAGAGGCATGTTTTGTAACCCTCTGAGCTTTATTTGATAGCACAACCTCAAGGTGTTTTTCTTCTTCTTACATCTTACAGAACGAAGATGCAGAGAGTCATGTTGTAAATTTAGCTCTGTTTCTCCATGAAAGAAACTCCTTGTTCAAATGTCCGTACCTGTGAATAGTTGTTTTTTTAGCTTAAAGATATTGTTCATGAAAATGCTATCATCTGTTATTCACCCTTACATTGTTGTACTGTTGGTTAGAAGCAAGAAGATATGTTGAATAACATTGACATTGGTCCCCTTTAACTGTACAAATAGTCATCTTTGTGTATCACAGATCTTGACTTTTGTTCATTACAGCTCAAGTCAGAAAATCTGAACTTTAGCGGACATTTGCTCCAGGTTAACAAATCAGGAGCTTGCTCTAATGTGGGGGTGTGATTATGATGTAGTGCTTGTTGTTGGTGTTCCGAGGGGAAATTCTTCTGCTGACATCGGACATGTGCTCATAAACTGGGCTTGGGTTTGTTGGAAGCACTACAGAAAGGTTCCATCATCGAGGTAAAGTTTCTGGATGAGTTGATGAACTCACAGACCTGGGTGTTCCTCTGAATGGATCAAGTGGACTCAGACATGGCTCCGAACAAATCAACACTGTTTTTCAGTATTCCTAAATCACAAAGTACAGCTGTTCTCTCAATAAAAACATGTTAGCCATTTAGCAATGATGTTAAAGTCACCAGGTAGACTGAAGCCCCGCTTATGGGGGCTTCTAATGAGGCAAATCCACGCCTATTCTGAAGCGAATTTCACCCACAAATGAAACAATTTGATGCACAACTCAATGTTCATGCGTCGAGTTACGATTTATTTAAACTTTCCCTTCCTATGTTAAAAACACAGTAATAACTGTCCCATTCACACGGGGCATTAGCGTCAATGCTTCCCATTCACTTTGAATGACGGGATGAAGTCAATTTTTGCTGAACTGAATTGTGGATCCGTCGGCGCTGCTTCAGCTCGTTATTTGCTGCAGAAGTTGGAAATTTCTCAACTTTTCAAGTGTCAATATAAGCATCAACCAATCAGATTGTTTTATGCAAATACCCCAGCTCAGACTGTAGCCGATTGCAGACCCATTTTATTGGCTGATTCTGCTATGACGATCACGTCAGCTCCAACTGCAGACACGCCCTCCGTCAAGTGTTGACACTGAAGCCCCGTGTGAATGCTGCATGGAACACAAGGATAAATTACATAAATAGACACGTTAACATTTTAAGTTTACTTGGTTCATTCACGCATCAAATTCACATCACATTCGACACAAATTTGTGTCTCTTGCAGGGCTCCTGTCTGCCCTGTGACTCTAGCTTCAATGCTAAATGGCTAACATGGATTTTATTGGGATAGTAGCTGTGTTTATGTGCTTTGTGAAGGCTGAAAAACAACATACTGTAGATTCATTTGCAGCCGTGCTTGAGTCCACTAGATCCTTTCAGTGGAGCACCCAGCTCTGAGTTCATCAACTCCCCCAGAAGCAACACCTGGACAATGGAGGCTTCAGCTGTGCTTCCGCACCTAGTTTGATGAACTGCTGTCCTGTGTCGGCAAGAGGATTTCCCCTTGGGACACCAACAACAGGCACTACGTCATAGTCATCCCCTTCAAGCTCCTGATTGTTTATTGTGGTGCGAATGTCCTCTAAAGCAGTGGTCCCCAACCTTTTTATCACCGCAGACCGGTCAGCGGTTGACGCTCGTGCATCCAGGTTAATCATGAACAACTCAGTGCACATGCGCTAGTTGCACAATCGCGGTCTGATTATGTTTCAATCAAGGCTTATATGCGTTAAATACATAATATCTGTGCCAAACATTTCAACTGACGAATGTATTAACAATAATACAACCGCATAGCCGAATTAATGTATGCATTAGCATGTTACAGCCCTAATGAGTATGATTATTTGAAACTCCATATAGATACATATTGCAATGATTTCGGGTACTTACTTAGCGATGCACTCACACATAACGTTATATGCACAATCCTTAAATGCTCTGCTGATTTGGACTCTGTAATACCTGTTTTATAACTTTTAACTATCAACAACCACCACTGAGCTATATTCTAGTGATCGTTCTTCCCGCTCCGTGGTGGATTTTGGCATAGTCCATTTCACGTGAGATGGCGGGGGTGAGTGGAAGAAACCAAGTTGCAGGGGGAATATTTTCTACAGAAATAATTTATGATTTCATATGTGGCCCGGTACCAATTGTTCCACGAACCGGTACTGGTTCGCGGCCCGGTGGTTGGGGACCACTGCTCTGAAGTTTGAATTTTCCAACTCCAGCGATTCGCATCATAAGCAAAACAGTCAACTTGCGCTTCTTCATTCATGCAAATTGCATCATTCGCACCGCCTCACTCCTGCAAAATGCACCGTAGGATGAATATTCGTGTATTTGCATTGACTTAACATGTAAATCACTCGCACTTGGCATTTCATCCATGTCTGGTGTGAACGCAGCATAAGACATTTCACTCCACTTACTTGGCTAAATTGCCATTGTGCAAGTAATAAAAGCAAGATATCCTTTTATGAAACTCATCATTGCACATTGCATTGAACTTCAAAGTATTAATTTAATAAGCAACCCAGTAAGCACATAATGCAAAGTCCTATCAGTGTCACGTCAGGCCTGTTTATATGGATTAGTTTGCTTTGGCCTTGGCGTCTCTTTACAGAGTCTTCTATTTCCTGGTGTCTCACTCTGAGCGTCCCCTCGTCTGAAGTTGAAAGAGCCCTCTTTCTTTCTTTCATATGGAAAGAGCACCTCAGTAAGTGGCCCAAGTCTGTTTGAAATCTTTTCAAAGCTTCTAGTAAGCATGTCTTTATTTGCTGGAAAATTGTATGAAATGAGCGAAGCAATGTGTAATGCTTGAGAGAAAGAAAGAATGAAAGGGAGAGAGAGAGTGTGCGAGATGAATCTCGAGAGGTGTTTGGCAAAGCCATCTTTGGACCGGTTGCAGAGCTGCACTTGGAATCTCACACTTTCCAAGCAGTGTTAAAAACTGCGCAGCGGATTGTGGGTTTATATACACGTTTTAGGTGTTTTGCACATTGTAATTTGTGTGCAGGGAGCTCCTTTCTTGTGGAATGCATGGGGCTGCAAGCGACGGTTAGGGTGAGAGAACCAATGGATAATGAATGCAGTTAGGAGGATAGGTTTGGAGAAAAAAATGTAAGCTGTGACATTTTTAGATATGTGCAGCACAGTTTAAACCCCAGGCTTAATTTTAATATATATGCAAGCATGCTCCCAACACTGCCTTCTTACACATCTCAGAGGACAACAGAAAACTTCTTTCATTACACACACTCAGAGCCGTCTGACTGAATCAGACTCCTCTGTGGTGAATAGGTCTTAAAATAGATACTTATGAGTTTAAAGTGTTCAGAGCAGGATACTATTAGAGATGGAAAGGGATAACGTAAACACAAGACTGTGGCAGAAACTGTCAGCAGCTAGATAGCTGCCAGTCATAATAGTTGTACATCATAGGGGTTGTTACGGATCTACTGATTGGCCTAAATAGAATTTTTAAGGGTTAAAGGCGCAGTTTTTTGAGAAACTATATTCACTTGTGGGAGATAATGGCATGGAATATCAAAATAGAAATGGTGTCTCAGAATGTAGTAAGCTCTCAAGTAGATTTTAGATAGATTAAGCTAGAAATATGCCTACTGTATTTTCTGAAAAATTGGTTATAAATTGCACTGTTCCTATGTTGTATTATTGTTAGTCAAAATATAATTTTATATTCATAATTAATATAA